ACATTATTCTTTTAAGACCTGATCTCAACTGTAGGAAACAACTCAAACAGAAAGAGTAATTTTCCACATGATTCTAATAGTTGATTATTCATTGATTTTTACTCTCTCTTAATTTTGACCGAATTACTTGTGTTTCCTTTTTAAACTGGGTGTACCATTTCTTGGATGAAGAGTCTATTTTTAGAGACATCTGGTCTTGATGGCTGTGTATCACCACTCATATGAGAAACAAACTGAAAGAAAAAAGGAGGGCTGTATTTGTCTCTTGATCATTGCATGCCCTTCATAGAAATTTATTTGGCAAATTAGGGGACAGACTTTTCAATTTAGTAAGACATAGGCTTGATGCAACACTGTGCTTTGCATATCTTTATTCAAAAGTTTGTTCTTTAAGCAACATTTATCCTGTGAATTGTTTCATTGCTTTAAAGATTTTTTCTGAAATTCCATGTAGTGTCCTTTGTAAGATTCAGGTGTAATTTTCAGCTTAAGAGTGTCGGTTGGGATTACAAAGTAGTATAACATGCAAATAATGGCAGGAGAGTTACTAATTTCCCTTACGACTTGTTTGTTGTATTTGTCATTTGCATGCCTCATGATTTTTTTTCTGACTTATTAAGATGTCTGGATTTTTATATCTGCTCCACAAGTGTTGCATGCAGCAGTGGATGACAGACACCCACATTTGCAGCACAAGCTTGCAAAGCCTTGCAGTAAATCTCCCAGATGGGGCATTTGAAGCACTGAACATAGGAGTTCCATTAACAAGATACATGCTTCAGAGCTGCCGTTTAAGTCCTGCAGAAAGTATGTTATTTGTGTAATTATTTCCATCAACCAGATGTTTGTGTGATGAGGAAAAGAGCAGCAACTCAGCACTCATTTAGTAAATTCCAGCATTAAGGTAAGGACTTCAGTAAACACTTGATTGTCAATTTCATTGTCTGAGCCAAGGACAGGGCAAATGGTTCTGATAATATCAATACATTTTTAGTAGTGGGTGAGATTCACACACCTATTTATGACAGGAATACATATGGGGACCACACAAGCAGCCTTGGATTTCATCCACTCCTACACATAGCTTTTCTTCTGTGTCACTACCACCAGAAAAAAATTGTAGAGATTAAATGAAGTATCTGAAACTCACTTTGGATGAACTAGGAAATTATCCTACAAAAACCTGACAATTTTGCTGTCTGGCCAAGAAGTTTGAGTTGGTGCATCTGCTAAATGAATCAGGGTGTGTGTGCATGTGCGTGCGTGCGTGCATGCGCGTATGCATATTCAGATAAACTAGCCCTGAAAACAGAATATTGCAGAGGATTTTCACCTGAGTTTATTATTCTAGTTATTGCTATCACTTTTGCATTGTATCTCATAATATTAATTCTGGGTTGGTTTTTACTGTCTCTAGTGATGGAATAAATACTCAAGCAAACTTCTTTGGATATGTGATGCATGTCAGTGACTTCTGAATTAAGTTTTTGAGCCTAATTATTTCTTAATATGCTTTGCCGTTATTTAGATGCATTGGAAAATCAATAAAAGGAAGGGTAATCAAACAGATTCCATGCTATTTATTCTCTTGGACTTTAACAGTGAAAATCTCCAGACTTTCCTTTCTATACTGTTCCTACCTATTTACATCGTGACCATGGATGGCAACATCCTCATTGTCCTTCTAGTGGTGTTTGATCAGCATCTGCATACCCCCATGTATTTCTTCCTGGGAAACCTGTCCTGCCTGGAGACTTGCTACAGCTCCACCATCATGCCAAGGATGTTGGTCCGCTTTATGAGTGGGGACAGAACAATCTCCATTGGGGGATGCTTTGCACAGCTATATTTCTTTGGGTTTCTTGCAGCCACAGAATGCTACTTCTTAGCTGTCATGTCTTATGATCGTTATTTAGCAATATGCAAACCACTGCACTATGCAATGCTGATGAATGGGAGAATTTGCATCCTGCTGATTGCTGGATCATGGATCAGTGGATCACTGGGCATCAGTCTCATAATATTCTTGGTATCACAGCTAAGTTTCTGTGGGCCCAACAACATCAATCACTTTTTCTGTGATTTAGCTCCAGTGATTAGGCTCTCATGTGATGATACGCACATGGTTGAGGTGACTGCCTTTGTGATCTCCTCTATAGGCACACTGCCTCCACTTATAATCACTCTGGCATCTTATGTTTGCATCATCAAGAGCATTTTAAGAATCCCCTCCACTGCAGGCAAACAAAAGGCTTTCTCTACCTGCTCCTCTCACCTGACTGTGGTTGCTTGTTGCTATGGCTCTTTGATGATAGTCTACGTTTTACCAAACATGAGTTCACTGAGTGGCTTGAAGAAACTGTTCTCTCTTTTCTACACGCTACTCACCCCACTGGTTAATCCCCTCATATATAGCTTGAGAAACAAAGAAGTAAGGGAAGCACTGAAAAGAACCTTCACAATGTTTCATAAAAGTCACTAAAAATCAGAAAAGAATAGTTATATCAGGGTGGGGTGGGGGTTAATTCATCAAAATGTCTGTATGATATGGATATATTACAGTGCCTGATTGTGAAAGATGGTTCTCTTTTAATTCTTTGGTCCTCTTTAAAGAGGTAGGAATTTGAAAAGCAGCTGCTGATGCCAGAGTGTAGGACATGGAATAATCAGTTCAAGTTGCGACAACCCAGATCCAGACTGGACATCAGGAAAAGCTTCCTCACTGTCAGAGAAATACAACAGTGGAACCAGCTGCCTAGAGAGGTGGTGGGCTCTCCCACACTAGGGACATTCAAAAAGAAACTGGACAGCCATTCGAGTGGGATGGTGTAGCTTGGTGTCCTGCAACAGCAGGGGGTTGGGCCCAAAAGCCTTCATGGCCCCTTCCAACTCTACTATTCTATGATCCTATAAAGTATGTAGAAGTTATCTACTTTGGCTTCAGAGGAACATATATAGAATGAAGGAAAAAGGTGCAAGCAAAGGTGAGATTGCTTCTTCAACTGAAAGACTGCTACTACAGAAAGTTTGGAGAATTCATTCGCACAACATGCCCCATAGCAAACTGTAAGAAACTGTGTCTTCTGCCCTCAGGCACACTATGCCATGTGTTATTCAAACTGACTTTTGATAGCAAGGATAGGGAAGGTTTGATTAATTATTACTAATTATTATTACTAATTATTGTTACCACTGTGCAACTTGGGCCCATAGCATGGTTCAGGATTTGAGTCTCCCCAGTGTTTTGTTTTGTTTTTTAAGATAGAGAAATAAGAATTGTTGAGATCTTAAGGAGATTTTCATATATATTTATTTACAATAAAAAGATGATGAAGAGATCAAACTGGTTAGTGAGAAATGGCACAGAATGCAAATGGCAAAAGAGACAGACAGACAGACAGACAGATGCTATAGCAGACTGTGTCCAATGGCATCCCCTTTTTTCTCTTTCACATCTCCCTTGACTTTAGCCATAAGTCTCAACACATTTGATCACATGGACACCATTCCTGCTACTTATACACTCTAGGACAAGGGAACATTGTTCAGACTTAGGATGAAATCCACTTTCAGATACACTATTGGGAGTCACATCCCACTGACAGACAGATCTGAAGATGAATATGACAGAGCCAAAGCAACTGTATTTCAATGTATTTTATTGTGTTGTAAGCCACCTCGAGGTTTCGGCAAGGGGCAGCATAGAAATGTTATAATAATAATAATAATAATAATAATAATAATAATAATCCCGGTAGTGTCATTTTTTCAGGTCTAGCATGAAGCACTGAGGTCAATACAATGTCAAAGCCTGAGAAGGAGGGAATAGAGGCAGTGTCATGTACTTGGAAGTAATGTATTATTGGGCACTTCCCATCTTGTTCTCCTATGTAAGGAGGAAGGTGTCAATGTATGCTAGATAGTTCTGTAGAAATATAGAAATTCAACTGGAATTGAATGAGGAGAAATTAATAGGAACACCATGTAGGAGGATGAAGAAAATAGATATTAACGTTCAAAATACACGGTAAGTTTTAAGTCATTGATTAGCATTTAGACATTGTATGGTTTGCAATGCAGAGTTGCATTAAGGACACCCTATGAAAATTATATGCCCACACCTGATTAATTTAGGGAGCCATTCCATTATGGACAAGCTCCCCTGTTGATAATTCTCAAGTAGAATTAGAACATGGTTGTCCATGGAGATTTCACTAAAAGACTGAAAAGCAACTTCATTAAATCATGAATGACTTCCATCGCCAAGGCAAATCTAGGCAAGTAGTTTTCTTTATTCCATCAACATATTATGCATCATTGCAAATATGATTATGGGCCCATATTGGCTAAAATAATCATTTCTCTGCTGATAGATTGTTTTGTTTCATGGATAATAAAAAGGAAACACCTCAAGGAGACAAAATTCTGATCAGATGAAAGGCAATTTTAGAATATTTTTTTATGTGTTTTACCATAAGAAATCCATTAGGAATTTGCCAAGGGGGAAGATTTTCCCATCATGAGAGGAGACTCACCGATTTCCCTCATGATCTGAGTGTTGTCAGATCTGCATTCATTCTCCATCTGCTCCTTTTTGTAGGATGATTAACAAATATGGGTGCTTATACAAGCTATAAAACCCAATTTATTAAGCAATGGACAGCACTTATACTGAAGAGATGCCTTTGAAGCCCTTGGGTCAGCATGGTCACTAAAACAATGGCTTCTGTGCAATGTACATTTGAGAGCTGGTATATATTGAAGACCAGCAGGAAATATATTTGATAATGGATTAGGTATTGCAGCATTTTGACATTTTGTCATTATTTGTTTTTCGGTGCCAGGCAAAGACCTTTTTATTTAAGCGACATTTTAATTGTTAATATTATTTGCTTATTTTATCTGGCCAGGGTGACTTATTTTATATTGTTATTTCTTGTATTTTAATTTTATGTTGTGAGCTGCCCCGAGGCTTCAGCGAATGGGGCCGCATAGAAATGTTTTAATAAATAAATAAATAAATAGAAACAACAAGCAGTAGGTGTCAGTTTTCCAGTTCATTCTGACTTCAAGGTAATAATTCCTAGAAGTGGCTTCTCACAGATGTAATATCCTCATTCACAAAGCAGTTATGTGATTAGATTTTTTTAATGGTGGCATATGTGTCAATATAGTTGACTTCCAGTTTAATGTAAAGTGATTGGAAATGAAAATAATGCAGAAAATAGCTCAGCTCTGATGTTCTTTGGTATAGGAATGAGTACCTAGTTTCTTGATGGAAGCTTTCTTGGAGGCAGAAGACTGTGTGGCATCTGCAGCTGCAAGGATCCTGCTCTCACTCTCTCTATCACACACACACACACACACATACGTGAATGTATGGATGAACAGATGGATACTATGCACTCTGAGCTCCATAGAAAACCTAGGACAAGCTTAATGTGTGTGTGTGTGTGTGTGTGTGTTTCATGTAGCCCAATATTATGACTGCAGAAACAATCAATATATATATATATATTTAAACCATCTGCAGTATACTCTCATTTTAGATTCTGGAATGGCAGGCTACATCTTTTATGTAAATCCCCATTAAGAGAGAGGGGAGCAGTGAAGGTAGGAAAAAAACAGAGATTAAATGGGGCTTACTCTCTTCAAAGTGTGCTCAGGATCACAGTCTCCTAAGAGGTCATATCATAAAAGAACCATCCTTAGCTTAAAATCTTAGACTTGTATTAAATTAAATTGAGTGTCACATCAAACTATTAAGCCTATTTTTTCCTGATATCGTCTGCCTTGCTGTTGTACAGATGCACTTAAATATCCACCCAGACAAGGAAAACAGAACAGCTCTTGTGGCTTTTATCCTCCTTGATTTTAACAGTGAGGACCTGCAGACTTTCTTTTTCATGTTATTCCTACTCATCTACATTGAGACCATAACTGGCAACATCCTCATTGTCCTTCTAGTAGAGTTTGATCATCAGCTTCACACCCCCATGTATTTCTTCCTGGGAAACCTGTCCTGCCTGGAGACTTGCTACAGCTCCACCATCATGCCAAGGATGTTGGTCCACCTTCTGAGTGGGTACAAAACAATCCCCATTGGGGGATGCTTTGCACAGCTGTATTTCTTTGGGTACCTTGCAACCACAGAATGCTACTTCCTGGCTGTCATGTCATATGATCGTTATTTAGCAATATGCAAACCACTACACTATGCAATGCTGATGAATGGGAGAATTTGCATCCTGCTGATTGCTGGATCATGGATTAGTGGATCACTGTTCACCAGCCTTATCGTATTCTTGGTATCCCAGCTGAGATTTTGTGGACCAAATAAAATTGACCATTTTTTTCTGTGATTTAACTCCATTGATAAGACTGTCATGCAGTGACATCCACTTGGTTGAAAATACATCCTTCATAGTTTCCTCTCTAGGTATCCTGCCCCCATTTCTAATAACACTTTCATCTTATGTTTGTATAATTAGGAGCATTTTAAGCATCTCCTCTACTGTAAGGAAAGAAAAGGCATTCTCTACTTGTTCCTCTCACCTGATTGTGGTTGCTTGTTTCTACGGCTCTTTGATCACAGTCTACATTATACCAAATGTAAGATCTGTGAGTAACTTGGAGAAACTGTTCTCTCTCTTCTACACTTTGCTGACCCCCACTGGTCAATCCCCTTGTATACAGCTTGAGGAACAAAGAAGTAAAGGAAGCTGTAAAGAAAATGTTCACAATGCATTACAGATTTCATTAAAACTCAATAGGCAAAGGTGTGAATTTTCTTGTGTTGTTCTCTGTATAAGGATGACATGTGGCACATATTTACAGAAGTGTTTGGAATGCATTACATGCATGTCTTCAGTGCCCATCTGGTTCTCAAATGCAAGGAGGTCGGTCAAGTTGAACACTCTGTGTACTGAGGCATTGAGCTTGGAAGGACTTCAGAGACTTGTGACAACCTACACTATACATTTTGTATAAATAATAAAAGGGGAGGGTAATAAACCTCCCATGGATGTATTACAATTTTGAATGAAAGGGGGTATCTTGGAAAGAGCAGAAAAATGAAGGAAAAAAATTACTAGGCAGCCATAGTCCTGGTGGAGGGGTGCACTAAGGGTGACGTCTGTTTTTTCTCAATTTTGTGTATTGTGTGTTTTTATTAATTATATAGTTTTTGCATTTGTATTTGTATCATAATAAAATAATAAAGATTTCCCCATGGAAGTGCAGAGCTGAGTAGATCCATGTTCAGATATTCTAGCCATATCTGTGAGTTTGTATCCAGGTCAGTTAGCTGCTAGGCCCAGAGCTGAAATGGTGGTTTTAAAATGAACTGGTCGTTAAATGGAAGGGAAGATTAAAGAATCATTTCAGGGCATTGGTATCTCTTATCTTGTCTTCTTTTAACAATGTCCAAATAACCCCCCCCCCCATCACATACACTATCACACACTATTTGTGAAAGAATGA